ATATATATATATACGCATGTTAGCCCCCCCAGTTCTCTACCTTTTTGGCGTGTTTAAATAAATGCTAGAATAAGGTGCACCTCTGTCTAGATCATTTCTTGGAGTCGGGGAGGTTAAGGCTTGAAAAAGGTTTCCGGTAGTGTAGATTCACAGTTGAAAGGATGTTACAGCAGAAATGGCGAATCAAATGTAAAAGAAAGAGGAGTTCGAAATGGATACCGGGTTCTTGTACTGGTTCATAGGGACTAGAGGTTCAGTTTTTCCGTTTGAGAAACAGAAGCAGTCATCTCCTCCAACTACAGACCTGTCAGCTGCTCTCTTGTCATTGGGACAGTGGCGCTCGGAGTGGACCTGGTTAAGCTTCAAACCATGCAATTCATGTGGCATGCCCATGAAGGTCTGAAGGCAATCTCTCTGAATTCCCAGACATCAGCTTGGTGGGAGCTTCGTTGTTGTCTGGGTCTCTTTTGGGGTGTTAAGAAGAGGCAGCAAGGACTGTCTGGTTGTGAACATACCCAGACAGTAAGCTCATTCCTGTCATGCCAAGGTGTGGCATCTCATGGATCTATTATTGCAGCTTCGTGCAGCTGGGTCGGGGGCCTACCCGGGCTTCCTTCGGGCGTAGCTGAGAATCCCACTCCCAGGGGTCTGAAGCATACTTCGAATGGACTTTGCTGCCCAACTCTACTTCAGGCATGCGCCCTTAAAAACAGGTAGTAGTGGCCACATATGCCACATGGCCATGTCGCCAAGACCAGCGAAGCTTGCTTGCAGGCAGCAGCGGCATAGCCCCAAACATCATCCTTTTCAACTGGGCTGAGTTCCCGGTGTTCTTTGGATGCGGGGCGCTCATCCTTTCGCGAAGGGTTTCACCGTCGGCTCTAGGGCTACAAGCATGTACAGCTTGGGATGTAATCGGTAGCAGCGCAACTGCCAAAACCACCCGGAAGGGCTTAGACTTTTTCAGCTGCCTGCGCATCCAAGAGTTCCCAACGCAAGCTTGAGGACTGAGATTTCCTGAGTTCACTGGATGCCCGTTGCCCTGAACCACCCTCACTATGGTTAGACTGCCTAGCCCTGTAGGTGCAGTTTTCTCCTTCGAGGGCATTGGAGCCTGCCTCAGTGATTCGTCGGGTTGCTCGAAGGTGTGGCGCGTGCAAATTCTGTATGAAAGTTGTAGACGGCTTTTTGCAGTTTTTGCAGTTGCTGCGCCCCAGGTCAAGTCAGGGCTAGGGTATCAAGCAAGGCTAGATTTCCTGAGAGCTCTCACACTTCGCAGCAAATAGTCGTTTAGTTTGGTTTCCCTTCCTGACATTTATGGATGTCTCTGCCGAGGCCTCATCCTCCCCATCCAGTTTGCTATGGCGTGTCCTGGCTCAAAGTGGGGCTGGTCAAGACTTGTTGGCAGCAAGGCAAACACGCGTGTCTGAAAATGTGCATGTTCTTTCTTTGCGGAAGAACCATTCGAAGTCCTAGGATTTGGAGGTTTACTGGTAGACAGTCGAACCTTATGTCGAGACACAGCCACGTGTGTCTGTGCAGACGGCAAAATACACCCGCTTGAGGCTGTGTGTGTACAGGCCTTTCGCTCAACCCTGGGAATGCCAGAATGGCTTACTTGGGTTTGGATAGTTGTGTTAGTGGCTTCATGACCTTTGCATGTTTAGCTGTGGCTGCTGAGTTTACAGGTGGTCGTAAACACGTCGGCTGGGGTCAGCATCTTAAGCTCTGCAAAATGATTCTACATGTTGTCCCTTTCAGATTGTGGGTGCTCTGTCGCAACTCAGCGATCAAAAGGAGCGGCATCTCGTTGTTGGCTCTGGTGCAAGCGCAGTGCGTGTAATCCTCTATCAGGCAGCCCGCAAAGTTTCCGGGCATCCTGCGCAGAGCTATGCCGGGAACCCAGAGACTGGGCTTCCAAGGGACGGGCATGGCAGTTTCCAAGAGCAGGATTGCGAATGATGTTCGCCAAAAACGTATGTCATCACATAATGATCATGTCAATTCGGTGGCATCCACTGCAGTGCAATCGAACAACCCAATGCGCCAACTCAGAAGCTTGGACAAAGGTGCTTTCTCTGGCAAGACTGTTCAACCTGTCTTCTGTAGTGAGGCCAAGGTAGTCGTCACTTAGCCGGATCTGCCGTTAGAACCATGGGTGCCTCGAGTCCGGGTTTCAGTCTGGATGCTCGTGACAGGCCAAGGTTCGGGCGGTGCGAATGGTGTGGTGCAGAGAGCATAGGATGGAAAGATGATTTCAGCATCTTATACTGTAACAATTGCTGGACGACATATGACTGCCTTCACGAAACACTTGTTGGAGGCAGCAGATCAGGCAGGATTGGCCTT